TGATGTGGGTTTTGTAGAAAAACATTCATATGCAATGAATTCAAAGTTTAAACCAATCAAAACATGATTTTCTTGCAAATTCTTCAATCCCTTTTTATTTTCCAAAACTTTTTCCAAGACTCTTAACTTAAATCCTTCAAACCCTATCCTAGATGATTTTCTAGCTAACAATAATAAAAGATGGAGGGTAGGATTTCTTACCTAGAAATAGTTTTTCCTTGATTTTCCATGCTTAAATCTTTAAGTTCTTTTGATTTCTTCCTTTTTCTTTTCTTTTTCCTCTTGTTCTTGTTCTTGTTCTTGTTCTTCTTCTTCTCTAGCTTCCTTCTATTCTTCTCCAACTTTCTCTATTATTCTATTTTGTTTGATGAAAATTGAGTTGTGTGTTTGCATCACCAAAAATTAATTAGTTAACTAACCAAGCTTAACTCTAATCAATCACATTTAGTCCTTAATCTCCATTAGTCTATTAATCCTACTTAGGCTTTAGTTAATCCTACTTAACTCTTGCTAATCCTATTTAATTTTTAATTTAGTACTCATTAAACTCTACTTGTTATACTAAGATCATTAAGCTCCTCACTTAAGGTATTGTGAATCATCTAAATATTCAATATCTAAGTTCAAGATAACTTCCTTAACTCAACACAAAACTAATCAGTGTGTTTGGTTTTAATTTTCTGAATTCAATTTTCTGAAGATTGAGTATTTTGTTTTTCGTGTTTTTTTTTGTTTTTAGTGAATATTTTTAAAGTTTTACACAATTTTTTTACTTTTTTACATGCACCTTTTTTAGATGTATCTAAACCAAACTAAACCAAACAAAGCTTTAAGTCCCATCAAATGGGGTCGGCTACATAAATCCTTCTTTTCCATGCGGCTCTATCAAATGCCATTTCGTTAGTCAAATAAAGTAAATCCATATCTCTATTTACAACGCTAGCCAACATTAATTTAAGCCTACCCGGTCCCCTAACATTTCCATCTACCGTCACTGTATCGCATCTCTTCACTACTGCCTCTGTTAGTCTCTGTTGAATATGTCCAAACCATCTCAATCGATTGTGTTAATTTATCTTCTATCGGTGCTACTTCTACCCATTCCTGAATACACTCCTAATTTTGTCTTGTCTAGTCTTGCCATACATCCACCTTAGCATCCTCATATCAGCAACACTCATCTTATCTACATGTTGTTTCTTGGTTGCCCAACATTCCGTCCCATACAACGTTGCTGGTTTAATAGCCGTTCTATAGAATTTACCTTCTAGTTTAGTGGGTATTCGTTTATCGCACAGTACTCCAGATGCACTTCTCCACTTAAACCATCCCGTCTTAATCTTATGGGCCACAGCCGCATCAATCTCCCCTGCTGTTGTGATAAACGACCCTAAAAAATGAAAAATGTTCACTCTTAGATAATTCTTGGTTCTTAAACTTTACTTCTCCTCTGCTTTCATTGTTACTGTTACTGTTACTAAATTTACACTTTATGTACTTTGTGTTAGTTCTGTTTATTCGGAATCTTTTAGATTCAAGTGCTTTTCTCCAAATCTTCAATTTTGTGTTAATTTCTTCTTTAATCTCATGCACTAACACAATATCATCTGCAAAAAACATACACCATGGCATGTCATCCTGAATATTTCTCGTCAACTCATCCATAACTAAAATAAAAAGATAAGAACTTAGGGTAGATTCTTGGTGTAATCTTACAGTGAAATAGTAAAGGCCTTGTTTGGTTTGTGTTTCCCAAAAATTTTTGGGAAAAATTCTCTACAAATAAGTTTTTAAAAGTAATCAAACCAAACAAATTTTTCCAAAAAAATTTCCCAAAACTTGTTTGGTTTACAAGTTTTCCAAACAAATCTCTCTCATACACATCAAATCAATCACTTTTTTCAAAACTCTCTCAAAATAATTTTCCAAAACATCTTTTGAAAAAAATCAAACCAAACAACTTTTTGTACTTTTTATCTTTAAAACTTATCTCCCAAACTCAAACCAAACATACCCAAAATATTTGTGAAAAAATATTTTAAAAAATTAATAAATACACAAAAATATGAAAAATGTACTGAATTTTTGTATTTTTTTTTTTGGTATTTAGTGAATTTTTTAAAGATTTTTTTGCACAAATATTATACTTTTTAAGTGTGTCTAAAAATTCATTGAAAACAAAAAAATACGGAAAATAAAAAGTAGAATTTTCTGAAAAGTGTTTTCTGGAAACCAAAACCAAACAAATTTCTTACACTTAATGTTAGAAACTAACTTCTTCTCTTTTCTAGTTTATAGCAAGCCTTAATTCACATAAACATATGACACAAGGCATGAATGCAAGAATAATGATATATATGTCATGCAAGAATGATTGGTTTGCCACACCAAAATAAGACCGAAAGCCCAAGAATAGTAAATGCCATTATCTTTTTAATAAATGAAAGTCTTTTCATCTGACCACCGAATAAAAAGTGAGAGTTAGAGCTCCAATATAGGAGTTTTTCTTTTGGCAAGAGTTCCAAAAGGAGTCCCAAAAGGGAACAACGATATAGTGAGAAGATTGATCAACGTCGAAGTCTATGCTGTTTGGAGAGAAGCTTGATTTTCTGAATTTCGTCATTTTCGCGAGCTAGGTCTCTCTCTCTCTCTCTCCCCTTCTTGTTCTTCTTTGTTGTTGCCGTGAAATATAAATCCTTAGCTTGAGCGTTCTCATCCAGTTAGATCTACGATTCTATTTCAATAGGGATGCGATTCTAACATGATTCTTGGTACGAATCGTTTAATTGCAAATCTAGACGAAAATCGTCTTCCCTTCCTCCGTTTCCTGCTGCTATGCTGCTAAGGTTCCAACAACTTCGAAGAAATCAGTTTCTTCTCCAATGAACTAGGGTTTTGTGGTATGAATATCTCTTTCTTGAGTCCCCTATGTCTGTCTCTCTCTCTCAGCTTCTCTATTTTTTGGCGTTCGTATATCTTTGACTGTATGTATCTATCTATAATATATATTATATACTTTTATTTTTTTTATTATTATTAATGATGGGTAGATGGAACGATACAAAGAAGAAAGTCTCTGACTGTATGTTTCTCAATTTTTATATTATTATGATTTTGGTCTTATTTTCTTATGTTATTATTATTATTATATATGTAGCACGGACACGGACACGGGACACGATACGGACACGACACGGACACGCGAAAAAGCAATTTTTCAAAAAATAGGGGACACGATACGCTGAGGACACGTTTAATATATATAATTTTATTTATTTATTATATGTCTAAAATAAAAATAAAATCATTAATTCTTATACAATCAAAATAATAATAAAATTATTTTTAAAAAAAATTAATAAAAAATGAGTTTTTTTAAATAAAAATAATTTATTTTATGAATTTTAAGTTTAACATAAAAATAAGGATAAAGAAAAAAGAATAAAGAAAAAAGAAAAAAAAGAGGGGGAGAGAAACGTTGAATAAGAAAAAAATATAAAAGAGAAAAGATGGAGGAGAGAGAAAGTGAAGTCAAAAAGCAGAGGAAAGGAGAGTCAGAAAAGGGAGAGATGAAAGGGAGGAGGAGAGGAAGAAAATGAAGAGGAGAAGAAGAACAAAGATGATGGAGATAGAGAAGTCGAAGAGAAGAAGGAGAAGAAGAAGAATACCTCAGCTTTAGCTTCAACTTCTTGGATCTGAGCAGGTTAGCTTCTCCTCTCCCTCGATCTCTTTCTCTCTTTCTCTGTCTTCACTCCTCCCTCGATCTCTCTCTCTTTCTCTGTCGATCAAGGAAAACAGTTAGGGCTTCTTCGATACACCTCACGAGTGTCCGAAAAGTGTCCCGCCGTGTCCATGGCGTGTCCGACTGGAAGATTTCAAAAAAAAAAAGGAGACGCGTTAGAGAGAGTGTCGGACATGTGTCCGACGCTTGTCCGACGCGTGTCCGTGTCTGACACGTGTCCGTGTCCGACACTCGTACACAGAGCCTGGGAACGTGTCGGTGCTTCATAGATTATTATTGTTGTTATTATTATAGTTTATACATGTATTTATCTAGTATTATTGTATCTATAGTTTCTGTATGTACTTAAGTTATTTTTTGATTATAGTATTAATGAGAATGACTTAGAAAGCTCTTACAATACTTGAATTTATTAATTAATTTTGGTTTTATGCTTGGAATGACTTTTATGAATTTTATATGCTAATTCTTATTTTTTTTACTCTTTTATACTATATTTAATTAATTTTGTATTTTATAAAACTAAAAAAAGTTCAAAATTCAAAAGGCTTACGCCTTAACGCCTCGAGGCTTACGCCTCACCTCAACAAGGGTAAAATGGCTCGCGTTGCGCTTTTGCCTTTAAAAACTTTGATTAAGTGCCTACTGCCTAGCCCTGCTATAGTCAACATGTTCTGATGCTTCTTGTGTGCCCCTTCCACTTCCACATGTTCCTTGGAACCATGGAGACCCCTTTTCCACTTGTCTCTATTCCCTCCACATCGTTGCTGTCCCCCTTTTTCATGTTCGTGATTTGCACTCCTAAGAGATTTTCTAGTGCATATTATATGAATTATGTGCATAGTGATTGCAATTGATTATCAAATCCCACCTAGATAAGGCATTATGTAACAACAATACATACACACCTGCCAATAATTCATCCTCTTTACTGATATTTAGATCGTCATGAGGGTGCGAAATAATATAACGATTTACCTGGTAATGTTATTCAATGAGATTTCTTAATCCATTCATGAGGTAATAGAATTAGCATGCCTATCTGGAAATGTGTGTGCTTGTGGGAGTTGGGTTGCATGGTAATATGCCAGTTATGTGCCAATCAGTTTGGTAATGGGAAAAAAAACTTTTTCTCATCCAAGTTTCCATGTTCAACTTATCTTCTGGATTATGCAAAATTAATGTATGTGAGGAACACACTTTATAAGCTACTTTTCAGTTTTAAATGTGATCTGTCGAACATGGTGCATGCGCGTAGGGATTGGTACATGTTGCAAGGAAGATGCCCAAAAATGCCCATGCTCATTTTATACTAGGATTAATGTATCAACGGATGGGTCAGCCACAAAAGGTAGCTTTTGTATCTTGCCTAGTTCTTTCTTTTGATTAGAATTCATGCTTTTAATTTCAACATGAGTTTATTTTAGGCAGTTTCGGCATATGAGAAGGCAACAGAGATCTTACTTCGCAGTGATGAAGAGATTGACCGACCAGAGTTGCTTTCGTTGGTTCAGATTCACCATGCACAGGTGCACTATCTGTTAATATGTTGATACATTGCCATTGTATATACGTAGTAGATCTTATTTCAGTACGATGAATGTGGTGAATGGTTCTAATGATTGTCAATCTGGAATAAATGTTTCATTCCTCTGTAGTGCCTACTGCTAGTAAGTTCAGGTGATTGTAATTCAGAAAGAGAACTTGAGCCTAAAGAGTTTGACGAAATTCTTTGTAAGTTGAAGGAGTCGATGAAATCTGATATTAGACAGGCTTCTGTTTGGAATACATCAGGCATGATACTTCTTAAAACTGGCCGTTTGCAGGTAAAAGTACCCTAAGTTTTTTATTCATGTTGTAAATTATTTTATTATTATATTTTCATTAACTAATATGGCCTCTTTGATTTTCTCTAGAATGCTATATCATTGTTGTCTTCTTTGTTGACTATTGTCCCTGACAATGTGGATTGCCTTGGAAATCTTGGGATTGCTTACCTTCAAAGGTAAGAGGCTATCATATTTTTCCTTTTATGCTTTGTTATTATACTCATTCCGTTCAAGGTTTTGCCTACTTAATAATTATAGTTACTAGCAAGTGTGGACTAGGAGAAGAAATAGAATCAGGAAGCATTTATGACAAGTTTGAGAATTACTCTGCAAGTGTCATCTCCACAAGTGTAACTGTCATAACCTATGTGTGGTAGTAGATAAGAACAGGGAGACATCTGGAATTAATGAGAAAATAAAATGGCTAATTTTTGTATAGAACTGAGAACTTGCCACAATAAAACTCAATTGGGTGAGCGATTCACTAAATTGATGCAAGAAAAAGTAGGATCTTGTATGTCCTCATTTCAAGGCATCTTGTAAATTGATCCATCTTGGGCCAATTGGCTTGTAGTCCGTGCCACTGATTTGAATCCATTTTTATTTATTTGGCATTATCACTCTATTCCTTGTTCGAGCAGTGATTCAAATTGCACTTGCCTTCCTGGCCAGTTCTCTCTCTCTCTCTCTCTCTCTCTCTCTCTCTGTCGTGCATGTGTGTGCAGCTACATCATGAAGCTCGTAAAGCTTTGCATCAATCAAGGATTTTGTGCGGGATAAGAGTCGTGGACCTAAATTTTGCATTTTTTGCATAAAGTGACTGCTCTCAGATTCGACCTGCATTCTCATGCTTGGATAACGCATTAAAATTTTATTATGAGGGGATTATATTGAACATTGTCTTCATGCCTTATTCAGAGCCCACATTACTTCTGCTTTTTCTTTCCTCTTTCTTTCTTTCTTTCTTTCTTCTTCTTCTTCTTCTTCTTCTTCTTCTTCTTCTTCTTTTTTCAAATTTTATTTAAAACTTTATATCCAAGCATTTTCCTTTTCAGATAATTGAGAATGACACTGTAACCCAGGTTTTAAATTTTGGCCGTTACTTAACAGGATTTTGGCCTTCCAATACCGCTATTCACTAATATATTGGCTGAAACCGTCCGATATCGGCAGATATATAATCGTATCACCAATACCGATACATGCCCCGATACTATTATTTAAAACCATGTTGTAACCTGTGCCCTGTACAATGGTTTCACAGCAATTGACCGTTTAAAAAACACATCACAGCAATCTGTTATTGGGTTAAAATTGATAATATGCATGCATTGAGCATAATATGTTAAAAAAAGACATCCCAGAAAAGGTGTCTTAAGACCTTTTCACCTTGATGTTTTTCTGATACTTATTTTTACTATCAAATCTATCTTCCAGTGGGAATTTGGAGCTTTCAGAAAAATGTTTTCAACGTCTGATTTTAAAAGATCAGAACCATCCTACTGCGCTAGTCAACTATGCTGCTCTTCTTTTGTGTAAATATGGTTCAGTTGTTGGAGGTATGATCTTGATTTTTCCGAGCCCCTGACTTACTGTTTTATAATAGTGTTGGAATTATTTTATTTTTACATACTGTCACTTTATCTTTGTCAATTTGCAATGTTAAAAGAAGAATCACTCAGGCAGCTCCCTCTTATTACTCAGGTGCTGGAGCAAATGCCGGTGAAGGGGCTCCAGAAGATCAGGTTTTAGCTGCCAACGTTGCAAAGGAATGTTTGTTAGCTGCTGTAAAAATGGACCCAAAAGCAGTGCATTTATGGGCAAATCTTGGTAATGCATATTATCTGACCAGTGATCATAAAAGTTCTGGCAAGTGCTTGGAGAAGGTCTGATTGCTTTACAATCATTTCTTACTTCCCTTTTCAGATTACTCTTTTCTTTTCTCATTTTATTGATAAGTTTCTTGTTGGATTTTCCAAAAGCATAATGTGAACATATTTGTTGACTCATGCATTTTTCTTTTCTCATTCTATTGATAAAGTTTCTTATTGGATTTTCCAAAAGCATAATTAGAACCCATTTTTTGACTCTTCTATATGCATGCCTTCTCTTATGATGTCAGAGTTGCTGGAGGTTTTCTGGTTACATACATATGTAATATGTTGTTAATGGTAATATTTTTTCTTTTCATTTCTTCTAATAGACCTTTAATTTTAGTTTCTCTTTCCTTGTCTCTTTAGGCAGCAAAATTGGAGCCCAGTTGCCTGGCTACACGATATGCTGTTGCAGTTCATCGAATCAGGGATGCGGAAAGATCTCAAAATCCTGCTGGGTAAGAGGCTATCATATTTTTCCTTTTATGCTTTAGCTTTCCTGGGCTGGAAATGAAATGGCCTCTATTCTTAGAGAAGGTGATTCTGGTCTGATTGAGCCTCCCATAGCATGGGCCGGGCTGGCAATGGTTCACAAGGCCCAACATGAGATTGCCGCAGGATTTGAAATTGAACAGAATGAATTGATTGAGGCTGAAGAGCGTGCCATCTACAGTTTAAAGCAGGTAACTATTTGGTTTTCTGCTCTAGCTTGTGTGACATAATTTTTTGGGTAAATTACAAATACACCTCCAAAGATTTGCTTAAAATATGGATTGCTCTCTGTGATTTGAAAAATTACAAATACCCCCTTGTAAGAATTTTTTATTTAACAGAATTAACCAAAAGTCCTAATTGCTCTCTTATACAATGATAAAATTACTTGAATTATTAATTGAAATAAATTTCTAACATCATTAAAAACTGTTAATTGATTTGATAATTTATTAATAAAAAGGGGTCATTTGTTATGAAATTAAAAACTTGAAGGGGCGGGATGTAATTTCTAAAACCATAGGGAGCAAATCGTATTTTAAGCAAATCTTAGGGGGTTTATTTATAATTTACATTTTTTTCCCCATCATAATACAATTTGCATGAGGTGATGGGTATTATGGTGAATGAGATTTGAAGCCACGATATTTCTTGCCTTAGCTGGTTCCATTCGCAAACCATACTGCTTCATATGGTACAAATTTTTGAATATAGTCCTCAGTTTTTAAGTTTGATGCATATGATGAGGCAAAAGCTACATATTACTTCATTCTTTTGCTATCTACTAGCGATCTTCTAGCTATCTTCCGTAATTTATAATTAGCTCATGCTTGTTTCTACTTGCAAAATTTGAAGTCCAAAGACACCTGTATCTTATTTTTAATTGCATGGACTGTTCAATTTGGAAAGGCTTAGCTGGGTTTGTGGAGAGCGAAGTTAAAATGTTGAACCAATTTTGTTTCTATATTGCACACAATGAAGCTCAAATTATTTAATCAGGTCTACAAGTGCCGTATATATATGGCAATAGGGTGCATCTAGTTTAGACGTCCCACTGATATGCATGATAAAGGGAGAGTTAATCAAAAGTGAAAGACACCCTTATTGTACCTTTCCTTATGATAAATACATATTTATTGTGATAGTTAATTTGTCATTAGCCTGGAAAAACCTCTGCAAAAAAGGGTAATAAGAGAATTACGAGAGATTTCCAACATGATGGGTTATTGACCACCGGGGGTGTTTCCGGTTGGGGGGGGGGGGAGATGGGTCCACGGTGTCGGATCCTTTTCCTCGGTGGTCGCTCGTTCGAGTTTGAGGGGGGCGGTAGTAGATGAAAGGGGTCATCGACGTTTAGCGATTGTGGAGCGTGGGCAAGGATTGCGACGGGAAGTGGTGTTGGTCGGCTTTGAAGCCCGATGGGTAGGAATGAAGTTGCGGATGGCTTCAAGAAGTCAATAGAGTCAATCGTTCGTCGGCCGTTTGGACGAGAGATGACGGAGTGGTAGTTTGGATCCGAGGCGAGGACAATGGGGCACTTAGTTCAGATTGTGGTTACGGCGGCTGGCAAATGGACTCAGGTTTTTCTTCCTATTTCTGAGTTTGGTGACGGCTAGGAAGGAGTGGCGTGGGTTGTAGAGGGGTTTACCTGAGGGAATGGTTGGGTGTCACGGAGGGGCGATATGAAGGGGGGGCAGTGGTGGATCGAAGGGGGGTTACGGCGGCAATGGGGGTCTCGATTCCCAAGGATGGTAAAGGTGAGGTGATACAAGTGGTGGCAGAGGAGGGATGGTCTGATTTGTTGGGCAGGGCCTTGGTGGGTAGAATAAGTGAAGTGGGGGTGAAGGGGGTTGGTTTTGCTGCTATGAAGGAATGGGTAGGCCGGTGGTCGCAGCGGTTGGGGGCGGTGGAGATTCGACCAGTTGGGGGCCAAGACTTCCTCTTTGTGCTCCCCTCATGACAACACGCTAAGAATGTGCTCCAGCAACGGTGGGTCATTAACGGCTGTGATCTACACTTGAGCTGGTGGTCATCGATAGTTCTTTGTGATTTTGGGAACTTGGCTTCACTAGAAGAGTATGTGTGGGTGAGGGTGATGGGTTTACCCTTAGTTGCACGAAGCGGGAGCGGGGGCGGGAGCGGGAGCGGGAGCGGGGAAGCGTGAGCGGATAGAAGTTTCTTAGGTTGGGAGCGCCTCGGGAAGCGGTAATATATATATATATATTTAATAGTTATTTCTAAAATATATTTATTATATAAAGGTGAGTTAAATAATTATTTTTAAATATATTTATTATTTTTATAGATAATATTTTTAATTTATTTATATATATTTTTTAATTTTTAATTGATATATATTATAAATAAAAAACAGTAAAATAATAAAATATGTTAAAAAACAATAAAATAATAAAAAATAGTAAAATAATGATTTATTTTATAAATTTTATTAAATTTTTTTTATTATATTTGATTTAATTAGATTTATTATATTATTATATATCTTAGATTTGATTTAATTAGATTTATTATATTATTATATGACAAATTATATTATTTATATAATAAAGTATATTATCTATTATATTATTATATAACAAATTATATTATTTATTATATTTATTATATGTTAGAAATCATGGTTATCAGAATTCCGATCCGGATCTTACGATCTTACGATCTTACGATCCATTTGAGTACAATCGATCCGGATCATGTAAAAAACTCTTTGTAGGTAGGATCTTTCGATCCTAGTAGTGGGATCTTATAGGATCGTGGAATCCCGATCCGAATCCGATCCTATCCGATTCAATTTATAAGCCTTGTTTTGTATTGTATGACATATTTTGTTGTAAATTTTATGTTTGTTGTCTAAATACCAATTTATGTCGTCAAAATAAATATTAAAAATTAAGTAGTATTGAATCAAATAGACTAAGAAAAACAAACTAGGAAACAAACATTCAAATATTGCGGTGATTTAAGAAAATTAAATAGTCGGAAAAACAAACTTAGCTTTAGCGGAGTCTAAGAAGGGTAAGATGATTGCAACTTTATCCCAATTTCCGGAGAAATTATTTTTGTGACTCGAATCCGCTCCACTAGGGATGCTAACGACAAACCTTATCATTCGACTAAGCTATTCTTTTGAGTTCTTAATCTATTTTCATTTCCAATATTGTTAAATATTTTTTCTTCACTTTTTATGCATTATTGTACATTGTAAAGTATTTTGTTATAGAATTCTTCTTCTTCTTCACCTTCTTTTTTGATAAAATACAGAATTTTTACCGTCGAGTTTTCTATTGCATAATATTATGTGTACATTTTACATGGAGTATTATATTTTTCACAATATCTTCACTTCTTTTTAATAGAATATAAGTTCATTTTGTGTATACTTTATAAGAAATTTTTATTTAAATTAAATTATTATGTAATTTGTCTTTTTCGGTAGGATCTTACGATCCTCGATCCGATTCTACGATCCGATCCTATAAACACCTCCAACGATCCAAGGGATGTGTGGGCTTGGAGCTGGACCAAAGCTGTTTAAGCTCACGATTGAGGTAGCCAGTCGTGGATCGCCCAAGGAGGACAACAGGTCAACATTTCAACCGTTCATAGACCGGGTTTTTGGTTTGTTGTGAGATGGTTTCAGGTCGCGAGGGTAGAACGACAGTATTGAGGCAGTTCTGACAGGAGGGAGGGGGTCGCAAGCTTCGTCAGAGGTTGTCTCTCTATCGCGGCCGCCTCTGGGCCAGGGTCAGTCGACGCCGCAGGCTGTGACTTTTATAGCCGAGTGTCTTCATGGGGCAGAAACAGCAAGTTTACGGCTTTGCGGCAGTACTTTCTGGGGCTGTGTGTGGGACTGACTGGGCTGAGATGGGTGATGGTCTAGTGATGGTGGTGCGGCCGGTAGCTGTGGAAGCTGGGCATTCTGGGTTTTCATACACGGATCTTGCTTCGGAGGATGAGTTGGTGGTGGAGTTTCAGAAGGATCAATTACCTACTGCGGATGAGGTATCTAACTGGGTGTTGTCTCGTATATATGAGGTTAGTAAACTTTTGGGTGTTTCTTTTGAGGGACATGAGGGTGACGCTCTGAAATTGTTTTTTTGCAATTGAGGCATCAAGGAAATGGAGTAATTTGGCAGTTTTAGACTTACAGATGGTTGGCTAGAAGGACAAAGGGGCTCGGGAACTACGATGATTGGAGTGTTCCATAAATTATGATTGAAACATGAAGGGGGTGATCGGCAGTTCAGGAAGGAGCATGGGGATCAACTTCTGTTACCATGCGTTTTGGAATGTGTGGGGTTTAAATGAGAGAGGGAACAGGGCGGTGGTTAAATCCTTATTGTAGAGTGCCAAGGTGGATGTGGTGTGTCTTCAAGAGACCAAAATGGTGTTCGTGGAAGGGGGGTAGTGTAGGAGTTGTGGGGTGGGCGGCATGTGGAATAGGCTTTCCAACCAGCATTAGGGATGGCTGGTGGTGTTCTCATGTGCTGGGACAATCGGGTGGTGGTGAAGGAGGGGGAAGAGATAGGGGTTTTCTTTGTCTTGTTTGTTTAGAAGTGTGGAGGATGGTTTTCGGTAGGTGTTTACTGGAGTGTATGGGCCGGTGAGAGGGATGCTTTTTGGGAGGAATTGCAGGATGTTGCATTTTGTTGGGGGTTGCCTGGGTGTGTTGGGGGTGACTTTAATGTGGTACGGAGACCGGAGGAGAAGTTTGGTGCGAGCCAGATGGCGGGGTCTATGAGGGTTTTTTCTGCGTTTGTTGGTACATTGGGGTTGATTGATTTGCCGATGCAGGGTGGGGACTTTACTTGGTTTGGAGGCTGGGCTGTGTCTCGGATTGATCGATTTCTAGTTTCTGGGGATTGGGAGGAGCACTTTTCTCAATCGATTCAGTTGAGGTTGCAGCGTCCAATCTTTGGTCACTGGCCAGTGTTGTTAGATAGTGGGGGAGTTCGAGGTGGTCCCTCGCCTTTTCAGTTCGAGAATATGTGGTTACAAGCAGCGGGGTTCCCGGAGATGGTGGGTGGATGGTGGAGGAGTTATAGGGTGGTAAGGATGTCGAGTTGTAGATTGGCCCATAAATTAAAACTCTTTAAGGCTGACCTGAAGAGTTGGAATGTAAAGGTGTTTCACCATATTGAGGTTCAGAAAGCGAATATTTTAGCAGTCT